TGCTTACAGGAGCAGCACAGGAATTGTATCTCAGTTTTGATTAGAGCTGAGCATACAGTGGAATATCAATATATTCCTCTTATTTCCCAGTTGTAAGGAGAAATCATTTGTTTTCTGTGCTCAGGGGCTCAGATAATAATAGTGGAAGAGAATCTCCTGCTTTGCAGTCCTTGAGCCTTCAAACACTTCCATGTGTGGCACATTCAGGGGGTTACACATGTGGCCCAGGGAATAAGGACCTTACATGGAAGTTGGATGTGGGATTCGAAGTCAGCTCAGTAAATTATCAGTTTCTTGCCTTCTCTCTCTCAGCTTTGGTGCCATTCCCTCATGTTCTTCCTTCCCCAAATTCCTAACCCAACTTAGGAGCTTCCCAAAACAGCTGCATCATGTTGACCTGCCCTTTGGCTACTGAAGTGAGGAACATCTGGCTGAGTTCAAAGGCAGAAATGCTGTTGGATTGCTGAGCTCTAGTATTACCATTCCATTTCCCAGACTGTTCCAGGGAACTCTGTTTTTGTTGGCAGGAAGAGTGTTTGGATTACAGCAGTGTAACACCTTAAGTTAGTCATAGGCAAACCGAGCCTTGAGTTTTACAGAGGAGATTAAACAAACTGTTTAATTTCCCTTTTTCAAATGAAATACTCAATGTTCAGTAAAATCAGAGACTGTGGTTGCTGCTTGTGGCTGCCAATGGAGGAGGTAACTGCAGGAGGTTCATAGCCTTGTTTTAGACACAGATAACTCAAGGCACAGAGAAATTCATAGCATCAGAGTATGTTAAGGGGCTGGAATGGAGCTTAGAGGTCACCCAGCCCCAACCCCCTGCCCTGGGCAGGGACACCTCCCACCAGAGCAGGTTACGGAAGGTTCATCCAACCTGAAATGAAACGCTGCCGGGGTTGGGGCAGCCACAGCCTCCCTGGGCAACCTGAGCCAGTGTCTCACCACCCTCACAGCAAAAACTTCTGCCTGAGATCTCATCTCAATTTCCCTCTTTCCATTTCTCCCCATTGCTTTTTGTCCTGTCCCTGCAGCTCCTAATCACCACCAGAGCAGGTTACGGAAGGTTCATCCAACCTGAAATGAAACGCTGCCGGGGTTGGGGCAGCCACAGCCTCCCTGGGCAACCTGAGCCAGTGTCTCACCACCCTCACAGCAAAAACTTCTGCCTGAGATCTCATCTCAATTTCCCTCTTTCCATTTCTCCCCATTGCTTTTTGTCCTGTCCCTGCAGCTCCTAATCAAGAGTCATACTAAATACTATACTAAAGAGTCATACTAAATACTAAATATCTCCATCAAACCTTGGAGCTGGGAAGGTTCCAGCAGAGAGCTGTCAGCCTGGGCCACGCTGGAGGCAAAAAAACTGGTTCTGTCTCCTCTGAGCTCTTCCCCTCCCAAAATTCCCTGGCAATAAATCTCCCTCCTTGCCCTCTTGGGCTGCAGCTGCTGATTTATGTTTGGAGTAATGAAAGACACGGAACAGAACTGAGCTCTGTGATTTAGAGACATCTTTATCCCTCTCCTGCCTCTCTCGTTTAGCTTCGTGTCAGCAGCAAGTTTGTTCCACTTTGGAAGTGCCAAAGAGTTTGTTGTG